TTTTTTTTTGCTTATTTGTCAACTTAGATAGACTGTAGCTCCCAGATGTTTGGCCAAACACAATTCTAGTTATTGTTCCATAATATATTCTGATATAAATTATAATGCCATTGCCTTCCATAATGTAACCTAATCAGTTGCAATGGGAGTTTTCATAGGTTGTGTTTTGCCTCCACAATAAGTAAATGTTTTGACAGAACTTGACTCTTCATTCTTCCCTTTACTCTACCTATGTTTCTTCGGATATAGGCCTTCATGGCTCTCGATCCTGTCTCTAGTCCTACCGAATTGGGGCTTAACCACCCTGCACAGTTGCAAGAACCAATTCTTTGAAATATATATTACTGCATGCATTTATATATTGCCGAGGTTCATCACCACAGAAAAGTTATATTGAATGGTTCTGCTCTAAACAACCCAATTTTTCTAACTGGAAATTGGTAACATTGGGATTCTGAAGTCATGTCATCCTAAAAACCAAAAACATTACGTACATGCATGTTTGGAATGCAACTCTTTAGAGGCAGCGTCTGGATTGATACAGCTGATTTTGTAGAACCCCCTAAATACTCTTCCTTGGACAAAGGTCTTTAATATGTTTTGCTCATGATGTTGATTCCCTCAAATATCTCTGACTTTCTGCTCCCAAATGCAAGGGAATTACCCCAAGGGGTTGGAATTATCCACAAAGGCCCAAATGTTGGGGCCATCACATTCACTACGTACCGGGTCAAGCATGAAAAGGTCCACTCCTTGCCCTGTGGAAAGAGCCACCAGGGTTGCACTCCCATAGAGTGCATAGCCAGCAGCCACAATATTGCGTCCAGGCTGCAAGGCATCCTTCTCTGAAGGCTCATCCTCTGTGGTCTGTGGGAGAAAACAGAGAAACATGTGTGTGATTGTTGTCTCCAGAGAAAACCCTTTGCCAAAGGCCTGAGTTTCAGATCTCCTGGAACCATTGGAAGAAGCACAGTTTTTCAGAATTTCAAGCTGTAGCAAATGTTTCCAGAGGAGACTAGTTGCCATGTTACTGAACAGATTTAGATAAGTGGAGGCAAAGATCATTTGTGAATGTCAACATTCTGTCAAAAAAAGCACCCCAAGATGTTAAAGTCTCAGCCTCTCTTAATAATAATAGTAAACCATACTCCTTAATGGTTACAATAATAACTAAGATTTTTGAACTTTATTTTATAGAAGTTCATTCTATAGCCTCAATAGATCTTCGAGGTTTATATCTGTTATATATTGAATTGTGTTCCCCAAAAAAGATATTTTGCGGTCTTGTAACATATATTGTGTGTTAATCCGGGTAGACTAGAGAAACAAATCCATAGAAACATATATGAATAAGAAAGAGGTCTATATACAAGAGCAGTTGAACATTGAGAAAACATCCCAGCCCAGTCCAGATCAAGTCCATAAG